TAGTCGTTATTGGGTCTCACTTAGGGCTGTCCGTGGGTCGATTCGGGTCTCCGTGGGTCGGTTCGGGTCCGAACCGACCCAAAACTTTCGGGTATTTAGTAAATGAACCCGTCGGGTCCAAATATAATTATGGAACTGTTCGGGTTCAGTTCGGGTCGGTTCGGTTCGGTTCTGTACTATAATTAAATTTTTTAATATTTACAGCAACACTACATAAATACAACTAATGACATTTCATTCGTAACTTTTACAAATTAATGTAGCCCAATTCAAAAACATATAAATAACTAACCGTCCAATAATATTAATTCAATGCATACAAATACCAAAAAGTAGATATTAATATTATATCAAAACTACATAAAGTATATTCATTTGTTTCAAATTAAAATGGGCTAATGGGTTTTAAAAATGATTTGGGCTTTCAAATTAAAATTATGAAATAATCTGATTTATTTAATTAATTTGCTAATTTGTATAGAAAAAATAAAATAATTTAATTAATTCAATATAAAAAAAAATTATTTAGTTTCGATTCTTATTTGATTCTTCGGTTCTTGGTCTAGACCCGAAACCCGACCCAAATCCATCGGTTCTTGATTCGAGTACCCGTTCGAGTATTTAATTTATGAAGAACCACTCGGTTCGGTTCGGGTTCGATTCGGTCCGATTCGGTTCGGGACTTTTGGACACCCCTAGTCTCACTCGTCCAATAAAAGTCAACAATAACGGCTAATTTTTAAATTTTAATCTCTACCAAATAAGCTCTTAATCCGATTTTTAGGAGAATGTGTAGTTAAAAAGTAGGAAATTTTTTTGTATTTACGTGCAAAAATATTTTTTAACTTCGCGCTCTCCAACAAAAAAAATACTTTTTACAAAAATCATTCTCAAAAAATATCAACGTCCCTTTAGTTTGAAGATAAGCTAAAATCAGACCGTTCACACTCATAATCTTAGCGCCTGAATCGTGACAAGAGGAATAGGACTAAACACAAGTTGTTAAAGAAAATGACTGCTATTAATGGATAAGAAAAGGACTATACAGTAATGGTTATTCACTGAATTCACGTTGCACAGATTAGGGTTCCAGAAATTAAGTCCACAGGTGCTATATTATTTAGCAAAGATAATATCATGGTAAAAGTCGTCTGTGTGAATAATAGACATGTGGAGCATGGGCGGACCGGGGGTCCCGACGGCACGTGCCCCCAATTTTTGAGTTTTTTTTTTAATATATATAAAATCATATTTGATATCAATTGAAATACAAATTTTAATTTAAATCGAAGTTACCAATTAATTTTAATAACATATTTCATGAAATTCATAATTATTTAACTTTTATCAAAATTTACTAAAAAATTGATTTTAATCTCCATCAAATAGGGGCAAAATCACAATAAATTTTAATTTTTCTTTTTTTTTTTCTCTCGCCTTTTAACAAAATCTTAACTCTTCATCAAATAAGGGTGAAATATTGCATTCTTAATTTCATTTCGAAGTGTTCACAGTCTAGCTTTCTACCTCGTTAATAGCGTACGAAACGATCAATCGTAGCAAATGCTACGACTTGTCAAAGTTAGCCGTTCAAAATTAGTATTTCGAAAATTTCAATAATATGCTAACTTTAAAAAATTTTCGACGATCGTACGCTAATCGAATCTACAAATTGCTTATGTTATCTCAAAACTTAATTCGAGAACTACATTATAAGCATANAAAAAATTCAATTATTTCATTAACATTTATTATTTTTGCAATACAAATTTTTCAATGTAATTTTCATTCTTTTATTAGGAAATTTTATAGGGAATAAGACATAAAATTTTTTTTCAAAATTTTACATCTGAAAAAGTCAAATCTTATGTAAATTTTCGAATGCAAAATTACATAGGGTATGATTTTTTTGGACGTAAATTTTCGATTGTAAAATTTCTCTCAATTTCTTTACAAGTTCGATTGTGCCCCCTAACTTTTAAGTTCCGCGTCTGCCCTTGATGCGTAGATTTCAAATATTAACTAAACAAATAACTTATTCTCGAAATTAGGTGAAGTTTTTGCTTTTGCTTTTACTTTTAGGGCCTGTTTGATTTCCTATGTTTTCCACATGGAAAATGGAAAACAATTTTCCATGAATTTGGTTGTTTGATGGCAAAATTTTGCCATGGAAAATATTTTTCATTTATGTCTCACACGTACACCAATGACTTGATTTGGTGTAATTCATTTTCCCACCTATTTGGTAGGAAAATGAATTTCATTTTTTTTTTTGAACAAATTTTATAACTAATTATAAATTTTTTTTTAATTTTAATGGACAATTTCCATGTAAAATAAAGTCAAACGAACATGTCGAAAAAATTATTTCTTTAATAGACAATTTCTATGTAAAATAAAGTCAAACGAATATAAAAAGATCCAAAATTCTAAAATTTTCCAAGTGAAAAATTATACCAATCAAACACACTTAATTAATAATTCACCGAAAAATAAGTTTTAGGCAATTATTTTCTCTAAAATTCATTTTCTTTCTATCCATTCCAACTCTGCAATCAAACGGACTCTTACTTCTTGTACTAGAACTTCCAAATAAAGTTATCTTAAGTCAGCTTTCTCTAAAAATACTTCTAGTCAGACAAAATACTTTCAAAAAATCATCCAAATATATTCAGAAGTAATATCTTAATATCAGGAGCACCTTTTGGCATTTCAAATATTATGTAAACGAACCTATAATATCGTTGAACATTACGTAGAGTTTGATAGTAATTTAACTTCCTCATTTTGTCATTATTGAGTTTGTGACATTTGAATTGTGATTTGAAAAATATCTGCTAGCCATTTACGAGGTGGAAAGTTATATACAGAATTTCCACATGATGACGTGCAAAATTAGTTTTATTTAGTAAAGTTCTATTGATGTAATCGAGTGACACACGAAAACAAAAAAAAAAAAAGATTATTTTACATGTTTCGTTAATGTAGTCTTGATGAAATGATTAATTATATAGTATAATTGTCATGTTTTTTACTTGGAAATCCGTCGCACGAGGTGATAGGTTCATGAACAATGGCAGAAAAAAACCACACTTTTCTAGCACACGTTAGGAAAATTTTAATATCTTTGATTTTGGACCCCCAAAGCGTGACGTGTTGTCATTCCTTTCCAGGTTAGTCTAGTCTCGTTATTTTAAAAATATGTATTCGTCACCTAATTCTTTTTACGTACTATAATAACCTTTGATTGTTTGAATAATATTGGAAAAATACTGAGAAATTAAATTCGCCTATCATGGAAGAATTCCTAGCCAAATGAATACAAAAAAAAAATCGCGTCATCATTTTTTTTTCCAAAGGTTGCTCATGCAGTAATGGACCTTATAATCAACTGCATTGAATTCTTTTATGATATAGTTAAATAAACGGTGTCCGGTTCTTGACGATATTTAATAGCGTAGCACGCTAACAATTATTTGTGTTGAAGCACGCTCAACCACAATATAATTTTCCTCACTACGTTTCAAGTTAAAACACTCAGGCAACTTTTATTTTTTTTATTTTTTTTGGCAATGAAAATAAATTTTATCCCCAATTGTAACAAATTATATTCATTTAATGGACAATTTTCATGAAAAACAAAACCAAACGAATACCAAAAGATCCAAAATTTCAATATTTTCCAAGTGAAAAATTATACCAATCAAACACAATTAATTACAATTCCCAGTAAAACAATTTCTAGGCAATTCAATTCCCAATAAAACATTTTCTTTCCACCTTTGCAATCAAACGGACCCTAAAATATTGGTATTTGTTGAAGAATTGAAAAATTATACCAATCAGACATAATTAATTGACAATTCCCATTAAAAACAAGTTTTAAGCAATTCAATTTCCTGAAATTCATTTTCTTTTCACCCAAATTTCATTCTTATAATCAAATGGACACCCTTAGAGCCTGTTTGAGCCCTTTTTTTTTTTTTTTTAAGAATGTATTTTGGATTAGTAGATTGATGAAGAATGTATGGTTGAAAAATAAGGAAAAGTTTTGGATTTACGTATAATATTATTTTATTGAAAAATGTGTGTTTGAAAAGAGGGGAGAAAAAATATATATGTTTTGAAAATAATGAGAATAAAAAATGAGTTAACGTGTTAAACTGGAACTCTTATAATATTGAAAACGTTCTTCTATTGTCCCCTCAACGAAGGAATTCCTTTGCTTTCCTAATGACAACAAGTTGATCTGGATTTATTATTATTATTATAGGAAAACCAACCACCGGACCCAATGAATCCACTTGAGAGAGGATAGACCTTCACTTCATATTCCATGCACTTCAATATTCTACCCACTTGTCCCTGCACACATCATATGTGCTTGTGATGTGAGCTGTGCAGCCAATAATATTTAGGATAAGATAATACCTTAATTGCAGCTACTGATAATTCATTCGGTGTCCAAACGGTTTCACCCCTCGCTCTAGTCATCTATTGTCTCGAACTTTCTATTTCTTCAATAGTCTCTATTTTGACGCATCACCTCTGGCTTAGTAAATGAGATGAACTTTAGTTATTTTCTGACACACAAGCACATTACATTTCGATGTTTTTTAGATCCAATTTGACATGACTTTTAAAAAATTAAAAATTGCTTCTTAAATGAAAAAGCTATTTTTGAGTCCATTTGAATAATTTTTTGATAATAATTTGTTCGATTAAGAGAGATTTTAGTTGACATTGATCCAAAGTGATTTTTTAAAGAAGTTACTTACCAAAAAAGTAGAAGCAAATATTGTTTCAAACAAGTCCTATAAAAGATGATGTAAGACAATGTTAAAAACGAACTAAGAGAGACGAATTACTCCTTTTATCACACACATTAAAGAAAGATACACAAATACTTACATCTATAAATAGATTTGGCATTATACTTTATTTCTTATGATACCAACAACCACACGGCCGCAACACCCAAAATTAGTAGCCCATATAACATGAGCAGCACAGCTTCAGATGAATCTTTAACGTTAGAACTCATACGCCAACACCTCCTAGAAGACTTCACTTCGACTGAGTCATTCATTGACAACCTTAATCTCTGTTTCTTCAATGGTTATGAGGGTAAACCCATTTTGAGCCCAACGAATATGGACTCCCCTTCATCCTGGTCGGGCTCGTATTCTTCTCTGTCGGACGCAAAGCAATCCGATTCACCCACTTCACGCTGTTTCAATTTCGAGCCACCGCATGTTTTCGAATTTGAATTGAAGCCGGAGATAAACAAGATTTGCTCACCGGATACTCCGAAGAAACGAGTTAAAACCGAGCCGGAAGAAAGCGGACCAGTTCACGTTCTGGGTTCGAGAAGATTGGGAAGGAGTTACAGAGGCGTCAGGCGGAGGCCATGGGGGAAGTACGCGGCGGAGATTCGAGACCCGGTCAAGAAAGGGTGTCGGGTCTGGCTGGGGACTTTTGACACAGATGTTGATGCAGCAAGGGCTTATGATTGTGCTGCGTTCAAGATGAGGGGAAGCAAGGCAATTTTGAACTTCCCATTGGATGCCGGAAAATCAGATCCTCCGGCGAGCACCGGCCGGAAGAGGAGAAAAGAGAGTGCAACGCAGGATTCGAATAATTAGAGCCATGTATAGACGTACCGTCAAAATAGCTTGTGAAAATTATGGTTTTCTTGAAAAAACATACAAAACGTCGCAAGTAAAGTTATGTAAAAAAAGATTACAATAAATATATCTTATGGCGAACTTGTGAGTTTTTTTTTTGTTGTTGGAGTTTTAAACTTTGGTTTCAGATTGTTAATTTGTGGATTATGATCACTGACCAAATTGTTAATTTGTTATGTTGAATTGTGTTTTTAATTTTAAGAACTATATTGAAAAAAAAAAATTAAAATGGAATTTTGTAACTCGAAATATTCAATGTTTTTGATAAGTTTGATTTAATAGACAATTGGACTCGATTACTGTAAATTTTGAGTAATGATATTCAGCTCAACTGAATAGTGGCAGCATGATTTTCAAGATTTTGTTGATTTGGGTGGTGGTTGCTGTGTTGATTGTCGAGGTCGTAATCGTAATGATAGCATTGGTGTGGGCACATGTTTGGACCATCCAGACAACAGTTGGGTTGGGGGATTTGGACTCATGGAAGCAAACTGGACCCAGTGATTTTGAATGCTCAATTTGTCCACAAATATTAGAAATCCAAGGTTTATGTTACAGCTCTCTAAATGTGGTGTCACTCTAAATTACGAACTCTGATTTCATCAACCAGAATACACACTTGTCATGTAATTGTCAATCTAATATCCAATAAAAATCAAAATGTTGCCCCAGTGTAATTTATCCATGTGTTTAATAATGTAGAATTGGAGCAACTATCCAATTATCAATCCAAGGAAAATAAATTATCCAATTGTCAACCTAATCTTGAATAGTAAACAAATTATACTTATGAAATTCTAACTAATTATATAATTCTTCATCCAATCTAGAATAGATTCATTCTCCTCTTGGCATACCAATGAGCTTGACAGCAGGGCCATCTGAGTACAGTGTAAGCAGGATAGGCCAGGCCTGGACCCCCAAAGATGAGCTAGGGCTTTTCATAAAGGCAACATGTCATGTCTTTTACGATTAAAATGTATGAATTGAAACAAGTCGTCAATAACTGCAACGATTGTATGCGAATCTTAAAATGCAATAGGATTACAGGCGCATGATTAAAGAGTCGTGACTTTTTGATTTGGTGTAATCTAGACCACTAGATCATGTCCCAATCTAAAATGGTACAATCTAATGGTTAAAATGAATTTGTGTCAAAGCATGTGACCATTAGAAAAATATACATTGAATCTATAAATTAGTCCCTCATAATTTCATTTTCTTCATCCCAAATTATATTAAAATAATTTTCAAATTCGTGTTTGATATTTTAGTATTCGAGATCATCCGATCTAGAAGATTCAATCAAACTTTGGTTTGCCCAATAAAATTACTATTGGGCTATACTAATTTGAAAGATACGCTGTATCTCGGAAAACAGGCACCTATTTGATTAGCACCCTATCTTAATGAAATTTGCAATCTCATTCATCGTTTCATTTCATCTCTTTTTTTAATTTTTACATTTCTTTGAATGTTAGTAAGTCATCATTTTCCTTATTTCATGCATGTCTCTTGACTTCGGTAAATTGATACTCTATCCGATAATTTACATGTCAATAGAATATAAATCATGTACATATTTTTAGTTGACCAAATATAATTTATGGACCAATATTCCAACATCATTACCCTATCGCCACCTCCACAATCTAATATAACTTTTCTATAAATTGCATTAAGAACAATTGTAATGAGATCCCTTATGTTTGGAATAATTCTTGTCAATTTAGTAATCCAGAATCAATAAGCATTAAATATTGAACATAATCCAATGCAATAAAAACTATCAAAGCAATTCATA